AAATGTTTAGAAAATGATGATGGCAACATATGTACAAATATGCTTGATATAATTGATGTATGGAATGGTATAAGAGCTGTAAGAGCTCAAAACAAACACACACACACACACACACACACACACACACACACACACACCCCGCCTCCTACCTGAGACTCGGTGCCACAGGTGTCAAAGCGGGCCTGGATCCTGAAGTTGCTGCCAACTTCCTGGGCGGCACAGCTCCGGCTGCCCAGGTAGACCTTGGTGCGCTCCAGTGGGGCCAGGGTCTGCGCTGAGATCAGGATCTGGAAGTCCGTGCGGGAACAGCTGACGTTCATGGGCACCACTGGGGACGGGAGGGGGCAGTTGGAGACCCGGGGGCAGCCATCGTACCTCGACCCGCCCCTCCACCCAAGAGAGGTGGATGGGAAACTGGAGCCCGAGTGCAGAAGGCTGGGCTGCAGTCTCACAGGGAAGGGTGCGGGCTATTTGACAGGTGTTGTTACACCTGACCCCCTAGACTGTGAGCTCCCCCAGGGCAGGCCCCATGCCTAATTCAGTATCCTTTGAGCCCAGCACAGACCTTGGCAGGTGCAGTTAATGCGGAATGAGTGATTGGTTGAATGAATGAGTGGCTATTCTTACCCATAATGAAAGCTGCCCTAGGCTAAACCCATTACCCTGTGCCAGGCAATTCATCCAATCACTTAGCAAATCCTTATTGACGGCCTACTGTGTGGGGGCACTCGTCTAAGTGCCACAGACGTTAAAGGGACAAACAAAACAGAAGTAGCTCCCAACTCCCCACCCTCAGGGGGCTCTCATGCTAATTAGGAGTAATAACTTTTCAGATGAAGAAAGAGGGTCAGGCATATGAGGAGGATACAGAATGTGGCTAACTGCCCCTGGGAACAAACTGCCTCTGTTAGGGATGGTGCCTGGCCACCATTACTGAACATTTTGATCAACATCCTACAGAAGAGTTCTGATCAAAAGGGGGAGTGTGCAGAAGAAAGTGGTAGGCTCCCGTGGAGGCTACCGAAGGAACCCCTGAAACTACTGCCCTGAGATCATCTTTAAGCCTTAACCCCAAATGCCCCGAAGGCTTCCTAAAACCAAACAGTAGTTTTGCTTCACTAGTGAAAGACGCGGAGCCCTGGTGACTCTGGTTCTACGTCAGCTGCGATCCACAAGGTCAGCAGTTTGAAACCACCAGCTGCTCCGTGGGAGAAAGATGGGCCTTTCCACTCCCATGAAGAGCCGCCATCTCAGAAACCCACAGGGCAGTTCTCTCTGTCCTATAGGGTCACGGTGAGTCGGCGTCACCTTGATGGCCGTCAACATGGTTTGGTTTTTAGAATGCCTGCCTTGAGCATTGTGCTCTCTCATGACTAATCTATATGGGATCAATAAACAACTCCAACACCAAAAACAGGACATTCCGACTCGTAGTGACCCCCTAGGGCAGGGCAGGGTAGCTCTGCCCCTGTGGGTTTCTGAGACTGTCACTCTCTACGGGAGTAGAAAGCCTCATCTTTCTCCCAAGGAGCAGCTGGTGGTTTCAAACTGCTGACCTTGTAGTTAGCAGCCCAGTGCGAAATCACTACGCTACCAGGGCTCCCAAATGAACAACAGCAAACCTAAATAATAGTAATAATTACAGGATTCTGGTTTTGTAGAAAAAATTAGGAACATTAGAGAGAATGGTTGCACAACTCACTCCATGTCACAGGTTGCACGTGGGGACATGGCTAAACTGCGTGTGCAAATGACTATGAACAGGAGAGCCAGGATGCCCACTCTGGAGGGAAGCGGAGCAAAGCAGGAAGGCCGCAGACCTTAAGAGAAGGCTGCTGTTCCTCCCCACAGTGAGCCCAGAGGAGGGGTGGTTGGAATCAGAGCACGGTCCACCCAGCTGGGATGGCAGCCTTTGCATCAGGCGCTTCCAAAGCCTGCGGTCTCACGGCTCTTTGTGGCTACTCCCAGGCAGGGAGGAGTGTGGAGTGTGACTCTAGGTGGATAAGTGTGTGTGTGTGTGTGGGAGGGGGGGGGGACACGCGGGGGCGCAGGGTGAGCATAGGAACGGCAGGGAAAAGGGGAGAGAGCCCGGAGGCCGGGGTCTGGGACTCCCCATCCTCTACGGGAAATGCCTCAGACATAGTTCAGCCTCTGGTGTCTGGGCAGCGGGGGATTTATGGGCTGCCGTCTCCCAGATGGTAGTGGTGGCCTGAACTGTGTGTCACCCCTGATTGATGCCGAGGCCGCCCTCCCCGTGGGAAGGCCGCCTGCAGCCGGGCACAGCTGGAGCCTCCCGGCTGGAGTGCCCCTGTCTGACCCTGGGCTCCCACTGGGATTTGGGCAGGGAGGGGGCAGGGGGACTTGTGGGAGGGGTGTGGTGGGGACAGGGGGAGGGGGCTTTGCTGTCACAGGAGCCGCCTCTCCCCTCAGTCCCTGGAGAGACCGGCAGGGGCAGGGGCTAATCCATCCCCACTCGGGGCCAAGGGGAACCCAGCCAGCCAGCCAGCGTCTGCACTTTGCAGTTGGGAGAAAGGGGCATGCCCACCAGCCCAGTGGAACCTGGCCCCCAAGAGCTCCTCTCCTCCAAGATGCAGAATCAGAGAAGGGGCTGCTCTGAAGGGGGGTTGGAGGTCCCCTAACTCTGCTCCTCAGTTTATGAGGGGAGCAGGCTGAGGCTCACAGTCCCCTCTCTGCTACTTGCCCTTGACCGATAACCAAAAGGTTAGCGATTTCCTGTCCACTTCAGAGCTGGCCACCTGCTTTAGAAATAAAACCAGCCATTGAAAACCCTGGTCTGACATGCACAGGGTCACCAGGGCTCAGAGCTGACTTAACGGTAAGCCCCCTGCACCCCCAAGCTCGCCCTCTGGGTGGCTGAGACCCCATGTGGCTCCTGTGTGGTGGTGGGGTGGCCTGGCACAGTGGAGGGAAGCTAGCCCAGGTCCACCAAGGCAGTCCTCAGAGCCACACGGGGCCTGGGTCCCCTCACCTCATCTTCACAACCACATGTCTAGGCACACCCCAGCCTAGATGAAGCCCCACTCCCACCCACCCCCACCCCAGGCTGGTCACACCCAGTAAGTGGCCCTGCTCTGTTGGAGGTCAGCCCAGGCCCTTCCCTTGGGCCCTTCCCAGCACTCAAGAAGGATACTGTGAATGGCATTGTACCTCCAAAAGACGTGGGCTGGAATCCTAACTGCCGGAGGAAAGAAGTCTTGGTCGCACAATGGTTAAGTGCTCAGCTGCTAAGCACAAAGCTGGCGGTTTGAATCTGCCTGTGGCTCCACCGGAGAAAGACCTAGTGATGCACAGCAAACCCCCTCCCCGTCCAATTGGCTCCCGCTCAGGGCAGGGTGGAACTAACTGCCGCTATGGGTTCCTCAGGGTCTAACTCTCTTCAGACAGAAAGCTCTGTCTGTCTCCCCAGGAGCGGCTGGCGATCTCGAACTGCTGAACGTGTGGTCCAGTAGCCCAGCGCGGAAGCCGCTCCACCGTCAGAGCTCCAGTGCCCCGCGGTTTCCCAGCTGAGCTCTTCTGGAAGCTGACTGCCGCGTTTTTCTCCCGGGAGCACTGCTTGGTTTGATCGGTTGAGTCAGCAGCTGAATGCTTCATCGCTGTGCCACCAGGCCCCCTGGTGAGGCTCGCAGCCCGGGCAGCCAGTGGCGTGCCCTTCTCCTCTGTCCCTTGGGGGCGCTGTGAACCCGAAGGACTCAGTGGCAGCCGACTGGCAACACTGTGAGCGGAGGCCCAGTTGGGAACGGGAGCTTTCTTTGCTGGGTAGATGAGGCCGCTCAGTGTGGGCGGGTCACACACCTGATCACACTGGAGCCCTGGGCACAAACTGGGAGGAGCACAAACAAGGCCACCTGAAGGTCACCAAGGAGAAGCGTTGACAGGGCCTTCGTTCCCCTGAGCGAGCCTGTGCCCTGGGGCAGGCGGCAGCCTCCTGCCCTGGGAGAAAGCATGCATCCCTATCACAGCTGCCCTGGATGCCTAGGAGCCGGAGCAGGGCAGTGAGTTCTTCCCCTTGGCCATGGCAGCCTCTGCGGCCACACCAGAGCCCTTGCCCCTCTCTACACCTGTTTCCACACCTGCACCAGGAGGAGGCATAGACCTGGCCAGAAACGGCCCCTCTGATGGCACAGGCAAGGCGAAGGGAAGACCAGGGGGTTGACGGACACTCGTAGCTGGCAAGTCTCACCCACACAACCGAGGCTGGACCAGCTCCCAGCCTCCCAGGCTCCTTTGCAGCTAGGCTTGGACATCTGACTGCATTCAAAGCCAGGACACGAGGGTTTTTGAGGCCGTCTGGGGACGCCTTCGCTTTCCTGATGAAGGGACCGTTGTGGCGGCATGTCTCCGTCCCCTGGCATTGTGGCAGCCAGCTTGCAGCCATGAGGAGGAGGAGGCCAAGTGAATCCCAGAGAGCCCGGCTGGGGCCCCAAAGCAACAGAGCATCTACTGACTTTGGACCTCTTGTGATGTGAAGGAAAACAAACCTCACTTGTTCGAGCCACCGTCCTGTCAGGATGTCTGTCGCCCCAAACCGCGTCTAAGCGGTCTGAGCACGACAGGTGGGTCTCGCCATGGTGACCAAGATCGTTGGCCTCCTGAAGTGGTGCTCAGTGATAGGTCGCATGCCAGCCCTGAGTACCAGGGCAGGAGGCAGAGAAGTGGAGGCTCCTGGCCACATGTGAACCAGCAGCGCGGAGCCCCATGGAGCCCCCTAATGGGCTCTCCTCTCCGAAGCAGAGCACCAGGACTTTCTTGGGAGGCACCTCTCCGGAAAACCAAACTCACTACCAGTCGATGACACTCATAGCGACCCTATAGGGCTGCGCGGAGGGCATAGGTAACTGAGGTTCCAAGGTTGTAAATCTAAATCTACATAGGAGCAGGTAGGTAACTGAGGTTCCAAGGATGTAAATCTAAATCTACATAGGAGCAGGGAGTCTCATAGTTTTCCTGTGGAGCAGCCAGCAGTTTCGAACTGCTGACCTTATGATTAGCGGTGCAACACATCACCACTCCACCAGCCTTTTGGTTAGTAGCCAAGCGCTTGCCTTTCACATCACCGAGCTGGGGGGGGGGGGGCGGGCTTCGGGAGTATGGCATGGGGAGCTGGAGAAGAGTCCTGTCACCACCCACAAGAAGTGAACAAGCAAAAGTCACGGCGGTTTCAAGGCTCCTGGGAGTCCGTGGCAGCAGTGTAGCCACCACGAAGGGGCTGGAGACCGTAGGTCGGATGAGGCAGGAGGTTATAAAGATGGGGGAACCCCCTGGGCCTTCTCCAGCCCGGCCCCACACCCTCGACCCCAGCTAACCTCCAATGTAGGCCGCCGAGAAGCCCCTGCGGGTGGCGCTGCGGTCTGTGTGCAGCAGAAGCAAGAGCTGGTGGTGGCTGGAGGTGACGGGTGCCGGCAGGTGGTGGCCACACCAACTTCCCAGCAGGGGCGCCTCCTCGCTGGCCCCATCGAAGACCGCCAGATGGTCAAAGTCGCAGGTCCTCGTCAGGCTGTTGGGCCCCTCCAGGTCCAGGTCCAGGAAGAAGACCTTGACCCGGTAGCCGGGAGGCAGGCGAATGGTCCAGTGGCAGCGGATGTTGTTGGGGTAGGAGCTGGGGTACTGGGGGCTCGAGAAGTTGCCCCGCATGGCTGTGTATACCTCCTGGCATTCTCCTGAGGGAGGGGGATGGGGAGGGCGGGGGGTGACGAGGGTGAGGAGGGTGCAGACCATCATCACCCTCTGCAGCTGCAGCTTCAGTCGCAGGTGCTAAGAGGTCCTAAAGCCACCCCAGCTGGCGCTGGGCAGCATGCCGGCAAACCAGACCACAGGTCCGAAAGCAGGCTTTCAACTGAAGCCAGCGGGGCTGGGGTTGAGGTCCAACGGGTGGTTTCCAGGGTGTGCTGGCCACTGGCGAGAATCCAGGGATGACCTCACTCCCTGCCTGAGGACAAGGCGGCTCAGGAGTCAGCCTCACCCCTTCCCCAGAGCTGCTCATTCACCCTGCACAGTCCAGCGTCAGCAAACACCCGGTCCTCAGGGCCCTCTCTGTCCTCATGCCTCTGTCCATCCTGCTCCCCTCCTTCTGCCTCTGGCCAGCTCCTCAAAGCCCTGCTCCACTCTCTCCTCCCCCGGCAGCCCTCCATCTGCCCACTGCACAGCAGAGGGAACCAAGGGATGTCTTTGTCCAGTTTCCATCTCCACCCCCCTCGTTAGCTGGGAACTTCGAGAGGGTTCTTCCTCTGTGAGACATTACTCGAGAACCTACTGCATGCCAGGTACTAAGAGGCCCCACGCAGGCAGGGGAGATGCACCCGCAGACACCCACAAGTGAGAAGCCTTAGGTCAGTGTTAGGAAGGAGCTTCTAGGAGTTGATAGAAGGCATCCTTCTGTCTGAGTGAGTCAGGGACGGCTCATGCCTTGGCCTTGGCCTTGGCCTCGGCCAGGCAGGCTAGCGTGTGCTCAAGGACCACAGGCGGGGATCCAGAAAGGAGGCGGAGAGTGTCGCCTGCCAGCAGAGTGGGGAGGCAGGAGCCCCTTGTGATCAGCAGGACCTGCAGGGATCGTCCCAGCCCCTCCTACCTGAGAAGTAGTAGGCCTTGAAGCCCCGGCCTCCGATGTTGAAGTCGGACTTGAAGACCACCTGCAGCTCGTGGCCCTGGGACATGAGGGCGGGGGGCTGGGCACTCCCGCAGTAGTGGTGTCCTTGGGCGGGCCCGGGGGCCCCGAGCACGGCCACGTAGTCGTAGGGACACTCCTCGCTGCCCTCCACCTGGAAGTCCGTGAACACCAGCTTGATGGTGGCGGGGCCCGTGGCTCGGATCACCCAGCGGCACTCTACGTTGTTGGGGTAGTTGTTGGGGTACTCTGGGCTGGTGAGGACGCCTGAGAGGCCCGTCAGGACGCCGCCGCACACATCTGCAAGGAAGCCCACCGAAACAGATCTCTCTCCCTCCCCACAGCTCCCCAAACTCCTCTTTGGGAGCCAGACACCAGCACCTCCCACCCCCTGTCCCCATCCCCTTTCCCATGCCAGCCTGCTGCCCGCACAGGCCCCTCCAGGGAGCCTCCTCATCCTTCAGCACCATCTGGACTCCATCCCCTGGTTTCCCCAGCGGCATAGCTCCGGGTTGGGGGGGGGAGATGTGCTACTGCTCCCCCACTTTGCAGCTGAGGAAACAGAAGCGGGGAGCAATGAATGACTTACCTAAGTTTTAAGTCTGTCCAGGGCAGGTCTTGAGACAGGATTTGAACCCAGGATTTACTTGGGAGATGCAGGGTGTGGGGGCAGATGGGCAATGATGGACTCAAACAGGGAAGAGGGGGCACTCTATCCCCTGAAGCTGGCTACAAGAGGGCAATGGACACCAAGCCCTGCTGGGAACTCTGGGAAATGGTGTGAAACACACACCTCAGAGTATGTCACCTAGCAGTGAGGGGCACCACTTCCTGACGTTCAGGTTGAGGGCTGCTGGGGGGCAGGGGTGACCTTCCAGCTTCAGGAAAAGCCCTCAGGTGAAGGTGTGCAGGTCGGCAGGTCAGCAGGAACAGGAAGGGGCAAAGCCCAAGGGGCTGGAGGGGCCCTGGCAGCCAGTCTCCGGCTGGTCACTGGGAGAGTAGGAGGTCCCCTGCCGGGCCTGGGCACTTCACCCTTATGATCCTTGCTGCCTGCTCCTACCAGGCCTGGGGAGATGGAGGCTGCAGTGCCGGCATCAGGCATGTTGTCGAACCCCTCTGCAGATGAGGATACCGAGAGGTAGACAGGCGATCTGGGGAATGGTGCAAAGTCAGGGGACAGGCATCTTCCCAGCTCTGCCTTTGGAAGCTGTGTGACTCCAGGCCCGCAAAGCAGCCCCTCTGAGCCTCATCCGGCTGTTAGAGCTCACAGGCCCGCTGGGCCTGCCCCACAGGGCTCTGCATCATGCTGCATTGGCAAAACTCTCAAGGCCGTGCTGGCCTTGAGACCCAGCACGGCCCATACAGCCGTGAGGCCTGTGCCTGGCTCCAGGTCACCCGCAGGTGGGCACACAGCCAGGACACAGCTCACCCCACGGCCTGGCTGTGTGAGTGGAGCACAGGGCTGGGCATCCAGGGAAGTGGCTCCTTCCTCCAGGGCTGTGTGACAGCCTTGGAGACCCCTGGGAGCCGTCCAACCCTGTCCTATCGGGCCTTTGGGAGGCAGCATCGACGCGATGGCAGTGGATAATGTGGGTGCCGGGGTAGACAAGTCGGCCCATGAGTCAAATACGGAACCCTGAGATCGAGTGTCTGAGAGATGGCAGTGACTGTGCTGTCCTCAGCTGGAAGGGACACTAACTAATACATCATCCTGAATCACATGGCTATACCTGTGGCTGTGAATTCAATCCCCTCTTCATGCCACATACAAACAAATCATATGAAACCAAAGGGAACATGAGCCTGCAAATACACACACACCACTAACACCATCCCCGGTCTCTCTTCTCAGGGATTACATAAGGGTCTAATTGGTATTGGGCATTTGGTTTTTTTTAAAGTGGGTAACTGTTGTCTATGGTATTGTGATTTTATTATCATCACACCCTGAGGGCATAGTCTCTAGTGGTTACACATTGGCCTACTATGCACATGGTCAGTAGTTTGAAACCACCAGCTGCTCTGTGGAAGAAAGATGAGATTTTCTACTCCCATTAAGAGTCACAGTCTCAGAAGCCCCTGGGGAGGCGGTTCTACCCTGTCCTACAGGGTCGCTATGAGTTGGCATCAACTGGATGGTACTGTTTTTTGGGGTAGGCCATTCTAAAAATGTAAAGGTCTAACATTCCCAAACAACAATGAGATCTACGATAATTCTTACATTTTGGGTGGTGCAAATGGTGAACGTGCCTGGCTGCTAACCAAGAGGTTGGCATCTACCTAGAGCAGCGGTTCTCAACCTGGGGGCTGCGACCCTTTCACAGGGGTCGCCTGATTCATAACAGTTCTAACAATCTGGTATTCTGTGATGCTCACCTTCCCGACACGATCGCTGAAGATAAATGGGTGCATAGGCAAATATGAAGAAAGCTGATGGTGCCTGACTATCAAAAGATACAGCATCTTGGGTCTTAAAAGCTTGAAGATAAACATGTGGCCATCTAGCTGAGAAACAACAAAGCCCACATGGAAGAAACACATTAGCTTGTGTGATCATGAGGTGTCAAAGGGATTAGGTACCAGGCATCTAAGACCCAGAATAAAGCCATACCCAAGGTGAATGGGGTCTGGGGGGGGGGGCATAGACCCAATGCCCAATGCCCTAAGACCCAATGCCCATTTGTAGACAATTGGACATCCCCCTACAGAGGGGTCACCGGGAAGAAAGGAGCCAGTCAGGGTGCAGTACAGCACCGATGAAACACCACAACTTTCCTCCAGTTCTTTGGTGCTTCCTTCCCCCCACTATCATGACCTCAATTCTACCTTACAAATCAGATTAGACCAGAGCATGCACACTGCTACAGAGAAGAGCCCGCAACACAGGGAATCCAGGATAGATAAACCCCTCAGGGCCAACAAGGAGAGTAGAGATACCAGGAGGATTAGGGGAAGGTGGGGGGAGAAAGAGGGAATCGATCACAAGGATCAACTTAGAACCCCCTCCCAGGGAAAATGGAAAAGTGGGTGACAGGGGGACAGAGGACGATGTAAGATATGGAAATAATAATCTATAACTTATCAAGGGCTCATGAGGGAGGGTGGATGGGGGAGGGAGAGGCAAAAATGGGGAGCTGATATCAGGGGCTCAAGTGGGAAGAGAATGCTTTGAAAATTATGATGGCGGCATATGTGCAAATGTGCTTGACACACTGGAGGAATGTAAGAATTGTGATAAGAGATGTAAGAGCCCCCAATAAAAGTATTTAACAAAAACAGTAGCAAAATTACAGTTACGAAGTAGCAACAAAAATAATTTTATGGTTGTTGGGGGGGGTCACCACAACCTGAGGAACTGTATGAAAGGGTCCCGGCACGAGGAAGGTTGAGAACCACTGCCCTAGAGGTACCGGGGAAGAACGGCCTGGTGACCCACTCCAGAGAACTGCCTGGAGCGCAGCTCCCATCGGGCACACATGAGGTGGCCAGGCGTGGACATCCACACCAAGGCAGCCGCGTACTGACAGAGTAGGGACCGGATGCTTCATCTGCGTGTCCTTGGGTGGCCGCCCTGTAGACCAGGAGCCTCTGTGGTTGACTATTTGCCTGCATTGGCATGTAAAGGTTTTGGCTTTGACTTGGGGCGAAGGGAGGTTTGAGCCTGTGCCCAGAAGCCCAAGGACAAGGAGGGATGAGTGGAGGAGATCGGCAAAGGGGGCGACATCTCGGCTCCCGATCTCAACTTGGGCTTCCCGTATTTGAAAATGCTTCGGAGCTGGACGTAAGGTTTGTTGCTCTAACAACAATGTTCCAGACGGATTTCGTTCTGGGACTTGGGCAGAGGGAGGCCTTAGGAACCCAGGGCACAAGAGGTGTGTCCAGGGAAGCCTTTGGGGTGGTGAGGGCCACCAGCACCACCCACCCCCTCGCCCACCTCCTCCTGAAGACCCAGTTGGTGTGGGGGGCTGGCGTGGGCCCCTCAGAGTGGGGTGCCTCAGAAAGGATCAGCAGTGGTGGCAAAGTGGGGACCCTCCTGTGGTCTCGTGTGATGACACAGAATATGAAGGAGGGGGCAGGTGAGCAGGAGAGTCCTTGTTCCTGAACACAGTGACACCCTCTGGGGCCCCAGGAATGAAAAGGGGACATGAAGGAGGGACCCTCCCCTCCAACTACCAAGATGTGGCTAAGGACACCGAGGCTGCCTTGACCCCCATCAATTACGCGAGCAGGGCCGTCCAGGTCACAGAGCAACCAAATGCGCCATGATGCCGAGACCCTGCAGGAACAGCTTTAGCCCCTGCCCCACCACCACCACCACCAAGGCCACCCTCTCCACCCGCATATCCTCTCTTGACCTTTCTGGTAGCCTGCGGAAAAGCCACGGCTGGCCACGTGCTTGTCCGAGTGGAAGATGACCGACAGGACATGCCAGGAGGAGGAGAAGGGTGGCGGGGGCACCTGGCCGCAGAACCTCCCCAGCAGGTTACCCCGGTCTCCGGAGGCCCCGTTGTAGATCTCCAGGAAGTCGAAGCTGCAGGTGTCATGGAACTCCAGGTCGAAGGCGTGGAAGGTGAGCAGCACGGAGGAGCCCTCAGCCACCACAATGAGCCAGCTGCACTCGGTGTCATAGGGGTACAGCCGGGGGAAGTTGGGGCTGGAGAAGTTTCCGGAAGGGGCCGAGAGGACACCCCCACATTTGACACCTGGGGCAAGAGGGAAAGAGGCTGAGGCTGGTGATGTCATGGTCATGCATCGGGTTGCTAAGCCTGGCTGGGGTCTTGGGTGAGCTCGATGACAAGCTAGGTCTTTGGGCTGGACCGAGAGAGGGTCAAACGGTGCCCTACGTCCACTCATGTGTTTGCGATTCATTGATTCCCGTACTTATTCTTCAAAGACTTGTGAAGCCGTTTGCTTCCCTCGGCACACGTTCTTTGAGTGCTAGACACTGCGGCGGCAGCTGGGGACAGAGCAGGAACACAACAGTCCGAAGTCCCGGTTCTCCGGGAACTTACACGCCAGCGGAGAAGCCCAGCCCAATCCACTGCTATGCAATTGATGGGACTCACAGGAGCCCTCTAGGGCAGAGAAGAACTACCCCATAGGCTTTCAGAGAGTGGGTGGTGTAGTGGTTATGCATTGGGGTGCTAAGCATAAGGTCAGCAGTTCAAAACCACCAGCTCCTCTGTGGGAGAAAGACGAGCTTTCTACTCCTGTTGAGTCACAGTCTCCTCTCTTCCTGTGATGATCTGTCAGAATGGCTTACGACTCACTAGACCCAGAAAACCCCACAAAACCAGGCAAAGCAAGAGGGCCGAATCTCCGGGTCCATTTTAAGAACACGTGAAACTGCCCGGGCCGGGAAGGGTGTGCATATCCGGAAAGCCACCAAATATCTGAAAGAGATCACTCGGCAGAAGCAGTGTGTGCCCTTCGACGTTACAATGGTGGCGTTGGTACCTGTGCCCAGGCCAAATGAGCAGTGGGCTTGGACTCAGGGTTGGTGGCCCCAAAAGAGTGCTGAATTTTGGCTTCACAGGCTTAAAAATGCAGAAAGTCATGCTGAACTGCAGGGTTCAGATGTGGATTCTCTGGTCATTGAGCACATGCAGGTGAACAGAGCCCCCAAGGCGGGCCGCTGGACTTCCAGAGCTCATGGTCACAACAACCCATCCCTGAGCCCCCCCTGCCACACTGGGATGATCCTGCCTGAAAAGGAGCAAGCATTCCTAAACCAGAAGAGGAGTTTGCACCGGAGAAAAAGATCTTCCAGAAGAAACCGAAGAAGCAAAAACTCATGGTTGGGGAGTAAATTAAGCTTAAAATAAAAGTTAATAAATTTTTAAAAAAGAGTTACAGTCTTGGAAAAGACAGTAAAAAAAAGTGAATAAACGATCAAGTCTATTAAGCCATGGTGGCTGCTACGGAGGAAGACGCAGCCTGAGAAGCAGGCTGGACACGCAGAGGTGGGGCTCACAGTTTTCAATCAAATGCCTCCTTTGTCACTTAGTCAACTCATCAGACCCAAAGGTGACCGTCTCCCCTCAGACGAGGAACGAAGGGGCGGAGTCGTCCAGACCAATGGGTGTGAGCAACGGGAAGAGAAGGTGAGCGGTGACAGGCCAGAGGCTGCACACACTCCGGGCGATGGGAACCTAGCTCAACGGACACGCTCACCTAACGCACACAAACTGTGGTTCTTCTCCAGTTTAAAAAGCTTACTTTGAGTTGGCCCTTGATCTATCGAGGAGGATATTTCCATTTTAATCGTAATAATGTTCTCCCCAGTGAGAATGCCTCTCAGCCTATTACAGTGCTTTGTTCTTAGAGGTACATGTGCGCGTGTGTTCTCAAAAGGAAAGTCACGGGGAAGTTGGGCTGTGGCCGGGGAGCATTCTGCAGCCACCGGCTTTGTAACCCCCACCCAGTGGCTGGGTGGCACCCTGCAAACAGGGTGTGTGGGACCCTGAGGAGGGTGTTGGTCACTCTTGCCATCTCACCTGGGCATAATCACCTCATCTGCATGTGAAAGTTGGGCACTAAATATGGAAGGCTGAAGCAGAATCGATGTGTCTTCATTGTCGCGCTGGCCAGGAAGACCGGAAGCACCGTGGACTGCTAAAAGGACAGACACAGCTCTCTTGAAAGCAGTCCAGTCAGAGCGCTCTGAACAGGCAAGGGTGGCCCGACCGCGTCTCACGGACTTTGCACATGCTGCCAGGAGAGAGCGTCCCTGAGAAGGACATCGTGCTGGCAGAGAGGGCGGCCCTCGACAGGAAGGGTGGACACAGTGGCTGCGACCATGGGCTCGGGCACAGGGACCCTTGTGAGGCTGGCGCAGACCGGGTGGCAGAGTTTTGTTCCGCTGTGCACAGGGGCGCTATGGGCCAGAGCCAACTCGGTGGTACCGACAATGCCAATGGCAACGGGGCGGACAAAAGAGGAGCAGAGACCAAGGGCTCAAGTATAAAGAAAATGTTTTGAGAGGGATGATGGCAACCTATGTGCAAAGGTGCTTGATACGGTGGGTGAATGGATTGTGACAAGAGCTGTAAGAGCCCCCAGTAAAATGATTCACCAAATAATACTAATAATTACACGAATAACAATGAGTACAAGAAAGAAGGGAATGTCCTAAAATTGATCGTGGTGCTGACTACAACTCTTCTTGATATGACTGAACGATTGAATTGTGTGACGTGTGGAGGAAGCCCCAATAAAACTTTAAAGAAAACGTTCTGAAATCGATTGTGATATGGTTGCACAACTCTTCTTAATATGACTGAAGGATTAGATTGTGTGACATGTGACTTATATACCAGTAAAACTATTCAAGGAAAAAAATGGGCCATCTCTGAAGCAGAAAGGGGCTCGATCTCACTACCATCCAGATAGAAGAGTCAGGACCCGAAGGTCCCTGTGCCCTGAACCCACTCACCCCAGGAGCCAGAGGGCTGGGGGGCAGAGAGGTGGTGGAGATGCAGGGGCAGCCTGGCACCGGGCGGGAGACAGGGTGGTGGGCTTCTCGGCCCACAGAGCAAGAAACCCGAGTGCCTTGGGGCTGGAGGCTTGCTTTCAGACTAGGGGTGCCTCCAGCCACTTAACCGGGGAAGCTAGATTTGGGGGCCCAGGAGCTACTGCTTATGGCACAGAAGCATGCCCTTTGGGCATTTATCAGCGGCCCTAAAAGAACCTTGTAACCCTTACCCAAGTGAGGCACAGGCCAAGGGCTGTGTGGCCGTGAGACGGAGGCCCAGAGAGAGGCTTGCCTGTCTGCACAGCAGACAAGAAGCACAGCTGGCCCAAAGAACTGCATCCTCAGCATCTCTGGTCCTGAATGGTAAGTTCCTCACCTCCCTCACAAACCCGTCATCTTGAGTATGGTCTGTGAGGGTTTGTTTGTGTGTTTGTTTGTTTGTTTGTTTGGGCATTGCAGTGAATTTTCTAGCCCATCAGAGAGGGCTGTGGGAGGGGCAGCTGGTGTGAGAACTGGTAAAGAGGCTGGCGGGGGAGGCAGGTCTGAGCTCTGCCTCCTAGGATTGGCCTGGGGCTGATGTTGAGTTTGATCCCCCCCCCCCTTATGACGTCAGAGGAGGTCAGGTGTAGCCTCCACGCTGCTTTGCAGAAGCTCATAAATGTCGTTGTCTGCCGGGGAAGCAGCACACAGAGGGGCGGGAACAGGATGCTCACTTCCTGCTCCTGAGCCCTTTCTGACTCATAGCAACCCTGCTGGATGGGGTCGGTTGCCTGGGGAGGCTCTGAGAGGCTGTAAACCTTCACTGGAGTAGAAATCTTCATCCCTCTCTGGTGGAGTGGCTGGTGGATATGTAACCACTATGCCACCAGGACTCCTCCTGGAAGGACGCGAGTCCTCTTTAAGTGAACCTGTCTTTTGACTTTTTAACAATGCTAAGGGTGAATAAGCAAATGTGGTGAAGAAAGCTGATGGTGCCCAGCTATCAAAAAGTATAGCGTCTGGGGTCTTAAAAGCTTGAAGGTAAACAAG